TTGATTGTCATGTAGGAAAGTCGTGTTCTGATTATTATCTGTTACCAGATATGAATTAAATTTCGTGATGTTTACCTGGAATTAGAATAACGCCAAAAGACAATTGGATATAAGACACACATATTTAACGTCTTCTTTTCATTTTTGTTTGTGATTATGATAACAATATAACATTTGTCTGAAATATAAACACAGTTTGGTGAAACCTGTTTACAAAACCGAACAGGCTCAAATTCAATATGATAAAAGTGCGAACTGATTTCAAAACCCTTACTCACCCTAAGAGCCCAAAAATTATACACCTAAATAAAAAAATGAAAAATCATAAAGTAAATTGCAGTTGTTTTCCCAAAATCCCCTATATTATAAATAGCTATTTCTTTCGTATATTTTGACTATGCCAATATGCTTGACAGATCTTTCGTATGTTTTTGACAGTATCTCAGTATGTTTGGCAGTTTATTTTAGTATATTTTGACATTTTGGCAGTATCCTTGACTGTTCCTTAGTATATTTTGACAGTATGGCAGTATGTTTGACAGTTTCCTTAGTATATTTTGACAATATGGCAGCATATTTGACTGTTTCCGTGGTATATGTTGAGAGTATGCAAGCATTTATTACTGTTTCTTTAGTATATTTTGACAGTATGTTTCCTTAGTTTAATTTGACAATATGGCAATATGTTTGACAGGTTCTCTAGTATATTTTAATAGTATGATAGTCTGTTTGACTGTTCCTTTATTTTTAGTTTTGTCTGTATGCTAGTATGTTCCCTAGTATATTTTGATAGAATTTTTGACAGTTTCTTAGTACATTTTGACAATATGATAGTCTGTTTCTTTAGCATATTTTGACTGAATTCAAGTATATTTGACCGGTTCCTTAGTATATTTTGACAATATGAGAATATGTTTGACTGGTTCTTTAGTATGTTTTGACAGTATGTTTGACAGTTTTATTATTCTATGCTCACAGTTTTCTTCTACCTGTGATTTGCTCGATGGTTTGTTTTGTATTTTATTGCTTATCACCTCTTTGTGGTTTATTTAAAGCCTAATCCAAATTTGGATTGTAAGAATAATTATTTGTTTTTTTTTGTTGGATGGAGAGGAGGGCGAATGAATATTGCATTAACTATTATTTGATAATAACAATGATTTTTCAAGAGAAATGTGATACTATTTAACCCATTATTGGGAGAAGAAGAGATAGATTTATGTTTGCCCAAGGTGTATTTGCATGTAAGTGAAGGCAACGAAAGCGACTCGAATTCGAACTCGGCTTTTCCGATTACTCATTCCGAATCGCTGTCTCTTACACCACTCGCACATCCACGTTCTTCATTGGAACAGCATCATAAATAACAAGATATACTTTAGTCAGGTTTAAAAAGTCTTATCGTAAATTCCCCAGACTACGTTTTCATTAATATTTCAAGTCCTTTCCGGACATGGACGATCATGGGTCCCAACAACCCTCAACTTTTTGTCGATTTAGATAATTTTAGGCTCTTTACCCTACCCTCTCATTCCCATGTTATGACAACCATTCACTTAAAACAGTGATTTGCAATAGGCGGTTCTCGTCTACAATCTGACCCCAAAAGCCTGTCAGTGTAGCCAGCTATTCTTTCTTCCCTGGAAGCAAGAAAAGCAGTAATTCCTGTCCTCACTTTTACAAAATATGTTTCAAGTATTCCAAAACTGAGATAATTCTGCAACAGGTTTGTGGATTTCAGAAAATATGACTATGAGTTAAAACTGCTCAACCATTTGAAACGGCAACTGAAGACAGTTGCTATCAAGTGGGGGGTTATTGATTTGCAGTCAGATAAGGACTTGAAGAGAGAATACAGTGACACTTTCTTTAGTATATATATTGACAGTATGGCAGTATGTTTGACAGTTTCTTTAGTATATTTTGATAATATGGCAGTATATTTGACTGTTTCTGTGGTATATATTGACAGTATGCCAGCATTTTTTGCTGTTTCTTTAGTATATTTTGACAGTATATTACAGTTTCCTTGGCATATTTTGATAGTATGGCAGTATGTCTGACAGTTTCAAGCAAGTTTCAAGTTCTTGTTTTATGTTTAACATTTTCAATCAAGTTTCAAGTTTCTGCAAGCTATACTAATTTCTTCTACGTTTTTCATCGATTGTGGCCTTTAATATGTTCAATTAAGAGAAGTACTTCTCTGAATCCAACGCTTGATTTTGCAGAATATGCTCGTAATATATATACGCAGTATCACATTCTTCGAAAGCAGACCGGTTTTTGGTGTGTCTAATCACGACCCATTTGGTGACATTTTTTTCAAAGTATGTAGGTGGAAAATATACAATTTTGACACAACAATCCATTAAAATGATCTCTCTTTTTGGAAGTACATACTACTGGGAACATTTATTTTCAAGAATGAAACTTACAAAAGCAAACTGCCGATAATTTGATGAGGCAGCTACGTGTTGCCACTACATCTGTAAAAGCTGACATTGAAAAGTTGTCCAACGACAAAACGTATCAAGCGTAACTTAGATAAAATTATGTATTCCCATGTTTATTTATTTAATAAAGATATGAAAATGCATCCATGCGAATTGTTGTTACAATCAGAGATTAAAAATATATGTTCTGTCTTTAAAAAAATGTCATATTTTTGGAGATGACCGGCCCAAAATTAAATTAATTTTTTTAAAGTGGCCCTCCAATAAAACATGTTAAACACCCCTGACTTAAAATTTCTTAAAGTATACTCTCCAATGTTTTAGTTGCCTTCATTATATCATGTTAATGTTATTCAGTTTTCTCCTAATTATGTGTGCTAGAAAAATCAGCTGCCCCTTTTGATTATTACCATCAGTCTACTTGTAGTCTCTATCTCCGTTAATTCTTCATATCGAAAAATCATTTGATACGGTAAGGTAAAAGGATCGATTTCTGCTGAAAGAAAAATAACGAAATTTATTTGTTTTTTGTTCAGCATCATATCAACCTTTCCGGGTTACTTAACGTCGAAATCAATTTGTACGGCATTTTATTTTAATTTTAGAGATAATAATGGCTTAGTGATTATTAATTAACCCATAGTTTCGGAAAAAAAGGTTGAATCCATACCTTTCCCAAGGGGATTCACGTGCATGTGAATATGACAAACCCAATTGAAATTGAAACTAGATTCTTCCATTAATAATTCCGAGCCGTTATCCATTACGCCACACGCAAATCCAAGCTTACAGCATCTGGTATTCCCAAGCGGTCACCCATCTAGATACTGACCAGGTTCAACGTTGGTTAACTTTAACAATCGTACAGAATATGTTATTTCAACTTGATGGAGTCATTATGGAAAGGGTGTTAGAATAACCTCGAACTAATACTGCGAACAAACCGCCTTCATAGAAAAAGAATTGAGCATTTAACCAAAAATCGAAAAGGCGTAAGATTAAATCAACCTTGACAGCAAGACTATCTTGACGAAAGAGGAAACGCCACCAGGATTTATTGTCGGTGGGCGCAACCTTAACAATATCAGATACGCAGATGACACTGTGCTGATGGGTGACGCGGAAATAAAACTACAGAACCTCCTGGGCAGAGTAGTGAAAGGAATCGTGTAACAAGGGCTAAACAACAAGAAGAAGACAGAAAATGTGGTCAGCAGCAATCGAAAAAGCCGAATGTACGAGTTACAAATCAGAGATGTCAAGCATTTACAGAAAGTTTAATATACGAGAAGTTGTTTAACAGATCATGGAAAATACGAGGCCGAAATGTGAGTGTATTAGAAAAAGAATCATTCCAAATGCTATACATCTTAACTGTATGCGTCAAGTGCTGAAAAAACAAAGAGTGCTGGATTGGCTGTGAATTTTGGATATTCTCCCTTGAGACGAGAAGAATACTGGAGGCAACAATAATGTAGTTCTACAGAAGAATACTGAAAATTCCATGGACCAAACGAGTTAGAAAACCAGGAAATCTTAAAGGCAACGAAAAGAACGCTTATGCTCAAAATCAGGAAGAGACAGCTGAAATTCCTTGGGCACATAATGAGGAAAGAGGCTTTGGAAAGCTTTACCTTCACGGGGCATATGAGGTGTAAGTGAGAGAGAGTGGAAGGCGGCGAGCAAACTTCCTGAAGAATGTGAGTGAATAGATGACAGGGACATCAGCTAACGTAGAAAAACTGCTAAAGTTAGAAGCGTTGTATAGCCATGATCGTCCATGTCTTGCAAGGGGTGCAGTACAAAGAAGAAGTTCTTCATATATTCTACCCATTGTATTCTTAGCATTCTTCGGTAGAACATCTCTGTCTCTTCGAGTCTCACCTTTAAGAAATATTATCTATTGTTCCCTGCCTTAAAAAGATTAGAGATCACGCAAGTGTTCAACATTGTTTTCTTGTCTCAAACAATATTTTCCGATCTCTCAATACTGTGTTTATATTCTTACATTTAATTAGTTTTCTACCTTGTTCTTGTGCCCAGTTGAATCTTCCTATTGTTAGCAGCAGTTCTCTTCTATGACGTTTTTTCAGAAAACAAGGTCTGATTTGAGAATCAACTTTTAGTCCAGGCATTACTGTATTTAAACAACGTTTAAATCAATCAAAACCCTGGACATCCATGCATTCCTGTCATCTAGTTACAAGGTCATTTATGACTTTATGATAAAACTCTATGATAAAACTTTATGTGTGCGTGGTTGAGTGATTAGAACGTTCGTTTTCTGACCATGAGAACCGGGTTCGAATCTCACCATAGTCGATTTGTCATGAAGGTGACGTCTTGATGGTATCGGTCTGAAGGAGTTGATCCCAACATGGGCACCTTTGGAAAGTGTCTGAAAACTATAAACACGGGTTGAGCCAAGTGAGTGAAAT